AGAATGCTTGGATTGCAAATGAGAAAGACGAAGAAAAATTGACTGGTTCATATGAGCAATCATATAAATTGTTACTATATGCCCTCCATTGCTGATGATCTTAAAAGTAAACATCATGTCATTGGATGCATGGATTCAAGGCAGGAAACATTGTATTCCCATTCTTATCATTGATGGGTCATTTGTAAAAGCATATTACAAAGGGTACTCTACCAATTGTCTGTGCTAAAGATGCAAACAAACATATTTTTCCTTTGGCTTTTGGTGTGTGTGATATGGAGCAAAAGAAAAACTTGGACTTAGTTTTTGATTAAGAAATTGACAGCGTGTCTTGCGTATTGGCATGACTTATGTATTGTTTCATATCGTACAGGGGTATTATACATGCAGCAAAAGAGGTGTTTCAACATGCTGAACATGACTACTGTGTGTATCACCTGCTAGGAAGTATTATGACAAAATTCAAGGGCTCTACTATAGGTCTTCTTGCGTGGAAGTTTAATCAGGCAGGCTGCTAGGACCGCTACTCCTAAATGTGAAGAGTATTTGGCGTCATTAAATGTAGAAGATCCATGTATTCATGACTATTTGTATTAGATAGGTGTTGAGAAATGGTCTCGCTTTTTTTGCACTCACATTAGATATTCTCTAATGACATTTATCTCTAATGAGAAATGGTCAGTGATTTGTAAGACTTTTGTGATTTTTTATATCCCACACTAACATTTGTAAGACTTTTATTATTTTTTTCCTCAATATTATTGACTGTCATGACTTGTTGGCATTGGACATTATGTTATTTGTTATGGTATTTTGGCATTTGATTTGATGTACTTTTGTTATTCATACTCAAATTTTTTTGGTTGCTAGATGTGTAGGCAATTAGCTGACATTTTTAAAATTATTGTCTTATTACGGACTAATTAATGCCCATACGAAGACATTAATTTTAATTTCTTTTACAGGAGCCTTCAACTGTGAGAGATCCAGATGTCCTTTAAGAGTTTAAAATTTTAACCTGACATCTCATTCCTTTTTCACAAGTTATATGAATCAACTATCATATTCATTATTATTTTTTTTTGACAAATTATTATTTTTATTTAATGAGTTAGAATTTCACGAGTTGAGATGATATTCATAATTATTAAATTCTTTCAAAAAATATACACATATTTTTTAATGTTTCGCGTTTGCGGAAATTACTTTTGAATTAACACACTCAAATTAATTGTTAACTCACACCCAAAAATTGTCTATACATAAAAAAATGTTATTCAAACATCTACCTTTTGTCTTCAAAAAAGATGTATAGAAATTTGTGTTCATATTCATGTGATGTTTATAGTACATATGCATGAGAAATACATCTAAATCTCATTTGATCATTTGAGTAGTTGAATCTATCAAGTTTGATAGTTACTTTATAGTTTTGTAGTAAAGTTGTACTTATTTTAGCTGGATGCATTTAATGTCTATAGTTATGCCTTTAAGGACTAGTTACTGTCCACTTATGGACTTTATTGCATACATCAACCAGATACTCTGTATTACATTGTCGAAAATCTGCAATTCCTCTCTAGATCTGTCTTCTACAGTATCGGTCTGGCCGCAATTCTTCTGGATGGGGAAAATCGGCGTTCCACCTACGATGAAACAACTCTTCAACTGACTATCGAACTCCGCCGTCCATTTCAGCACCGAGCCGGCATCCAAGCCGCAGAACTCGTCGATGCAGGCGGTTTTGCTCGGAAGCGCGAGCTCCAACATTCAAATATCCCTAAAATTCCTCAGAAAGTGAGCGGGAGAATAGGAGTAGTAGACCGGCGTCCCGGCAAGTGCATCCTGCGGTGGAACTGAAAGTGCTCTTCGATCTGAGAACGCACAGTAGAGATCGGAAGGGTATTCTGGTCAATTATTATCATGTTTGGTCATACGCTAGTTTGTAGTCCTAATTTAGAAAAATTGTTAACTTTGTGTCTTATTAGAGTAATTTTCCCAAAAAAAAACTGCATCGACAACATCATAATTGTATTCCTAAATTGTCTTATGTAATTAATTAATATATAAATAATCATTCCGTTTTCAATAGTAGTCTAATATGGTTTGATTTCATTTAGATAGCTTTTGTCTAGCATTAATAACATGATGATTTACCCCATTCTCTTCCGATCCGGGATCCCACATACAATTACCCACTAACTTCATTTCCACTTCCAATGATCTTCCTACATATATACTTGTACTACGTATTAATAGGGCAAAGCTGCTCACACTGCCCTTAAGAAAGAAATTAACAACCCTTCTCCTCATACAGTAGTCACACTACCATGATTATTGTTCAAACATATCATGGTAAATGGTATTCATTTTTTACAGTAACAACCGCTTCTCTAATCTCTATCAAATTTTCGACAATCACTATCATATCATATCAAATTACGGTAGGAATTTTTTTTTTTTACGGTAGGTAAATTTTATAATTCATAGATTTTTTTTTGTAATTTTAAAGATTAATATGTATTTTAGCATTTGATTCCGTTGCACGTGTCATGAGACTTTAGCCTATATATGACGTGGGTTTCTTTTTCAAACACTCTAGGCCGAGAACTACATACGTAGGCACGTATATGACATCAGTTTCAAAATTACCTTATTGCATACCTTCAAATTGAAGAACGTTAGAAGGGTTCATATAAAATTGAGTGAGTTTAATTTTGTTCACCTCCTATTTGGAGGGTGAACATAACCCTCTAATTTTTTAACAATAAAAGTACACAGATTTTCTTCCTTTACTAAGTCAATGGGCATCTTTCGTTTTGAGTATTTATATAGATTAGACATGTGGGGTCTTTTTGTTAGGATTTTTATTACGACCAAGTGTTTTTTATTTTACTGATGAAGCAGAACAAAATTAAATATATTTAAAATATAATTTATTTTTTCATAATTTAGCATATTCATCTTATTGAACTGCTTCAAGCAGGTTTTATTTTAACAAATTCAGCTAATTTTTTCGTTAAGAAAAGTTCCCGTGGTATTATTGTTAGCTGAATTTCAATATATAGTACTGAGTAAAATTTTATACTTTATAGTATTCGACGTGGACTTTTAAAATGCTATAAAACTCGAGTAGTATTTGATGTAGACTTTTAAAAGTCTAAGCGCATTCAAATTTTCGTTCATTTTTATTGATTTCTAAAATAATGAATTCTCATGAATATTTAAGTCATTCTCACCACATTAATTTTTTGCAATTGTCTCTTTTTCTCATCGAAGAATTTCATGAATGTTTCTGTTGTCTTCTACTTGTCACAAGTACGCATAGATCTAGTTGCAGATTTGATTATTTATTTACCCGGAATCCCAAACCTGCCAACAAGTGCTAGACTAGTACTGGTCGGGTCAGGAGGTGGGTACCAAGATGGTCTCAATATGCAAAATTTGAACATTAAGTTTTGTTTTTTAATTATTTTACGATAAATAAAGTCGAACAAAGAAGATTCTACATTAATACTGATACACAAGATAAACTTAAAAAACTAAAAGGTGATATTTTTTATGTCTTCTTATGAAGGAAAATGTAGGGGTGAGATCCGTCCCATTTTTGAAAGAAAATTAGGAACCATTTGAAAAACCGTTAATCTCATATTGATTCAGTTCTAGAAGTTTTTAGAAGAACCGATATAAGAATGGATAGTATTACATCAGTGCAATTCCGGTGCGTCGTCAGTTAACCATTAAGATTTTTTTTATTATTACTTTGTTTAATCGTTAAACCGGTAACACATAAAAATATAATTTCAAATTAATAACTACATAACCATAAATAAGTATACAAAATTTAACAAGCTAAAAATGAAAAGAAAAAAATATTAAAAAGGAAAGTAGCCTTGCACCTATGCTTGTACCACATGTAGTAATTATCGTAACGCTTTTGTAACGATAAATGTTCTTACGCGTAGAGTTGTATAATATAACAATTGATCATAAAGATATCGAGATTGTTGAGCATTCTTGAAACTTTGAGTTTTCTTTTTCATAAAAATAAATTTAGATTCTTATGCATCATTTATTCTTGTAGCAATCTGCATTGCTTGATGCAAATTTGGTCCTATAACGAATAAATATTTGCAATTTAAGGACTTTTCCACTGGAATGTACACTTTCCGCCAGAAAAATCCGACGTCGGTGCCATCTTTTCGGGTATATTATTGCTGGAAAGTGTACTTTTCAGGAAAGTAGACCTCAAATCGTAAATATTAATTAGTTAAAAGACCAATTTGCAAGTGACTAAAGTTACAGGACTAATAACGGAAATGGCCGAAAGTTACAGAAAGAAAATTGCAAATTTCAGTAATTAAAATAATTAGTTGCCCCTATTTTTCTTGCATAATCAAAATCATTTTATTGGTGGCGGATCAGTCAAATGATGACGGCGGCGAACTCGGGTGACGGAGGCGGACAAGCAGATCAGTAGCAACAATCTAGGTAAAACTTTCAACGATCGACAATGGCAATCTGAATTTAAAAAACTATGAACTTTTTAAAAGTCTATAAAATTATTCATGCATTTAAAAGTCAATGAAATTGATTTTTAAAAAATATATGAATTTAAGAGTTCATTGGCTTTTTAAAAATCCACCGCAATCCATATTTAATACAAACCCTCCATTTGGATGTCTAAATTTTGAAGCCGAGAAGATGGGCAGCAGAGTATGGGAGAAAGAAATTAGAAGGGTATGGCTACATTTTAAAATCCGTATATACTACTCCGTATATATTAAGAGTATGGGCATAGTGGGAGAAAAGGACCATGTGGTGTACTTTTAGTATTAAAATATTTGAGGGTTATGTTCACCCTCCAAATGGGGAGGTGAACAAAATTACACTCTATAAAATTAGGTATGAGATTTATTAACAAACCTCGGTAAACTATCCAATAAAGTTTTTTTTGAAACAAAGACTAGCCTCTATTCATATCAAAAGTTTCAGGATCATTACATTATTCACGAAGAAAACAAAATTGACACCAGCTAGACTCCAGCAACAACGACTGTAAACCCTATGATGAGCTTTAGAAACGATCACCCCTGAAAGAGCAACACGAATCACTAACCAGGTAACGGGCTTGACACAGCCATCCATATTCTCATAGATCCAAACATACTCAATGACATAAAACAATGCTAAAATCCCAAACAAAATGACAAACCTAACAACATAGACGATAACAAGAAACCAAAAGACAAAAGAATGAAAACTTATTGGAAAACTTTCACGGACTCTTGCATCTCGCACAACCCATGGCGGTGGCTCCGGAGGAGGCCGTATCCTTGGTACCACTTCTCTCTCGGCCGAGCCTCCTTCCTCTTCAAGCGTCTCCTCCTCAAAAACCAGTTCTTCTTCCTGATCCCCAATAGTCATGTCCTTATATTTGTTTGCAATTTCTTCCATCTTCCTTTCAAGAATGTTGAAAAGTTCAATCGGCCGCCTGCAATTAAACCAAAATCAAAACACGCCTGCTTCCACCTATTCTGAAGAAGCTGTGCAGGCAAAAACGAAGGCAGAGCCCTGCCTCAAATCGATCGATCACAAATCCGGATCACGACTAAAGTCGGAATCCCAAAGCCTGCACCAAAGATAAGCCCTGTCCGTCTGAATTGTGCGAACCACCAACAGATCAGAGAGACAACAACGAGACTCGGCTATCCACTCTTGGTAGAAACACCTCCGGACTGGCCGGCTGTAGACGCCGCCGCCGGTAGAAACTAGCTAGGGAAATCTCTAGAGACGTCCGCAGTTTTTTGTGTGCCTTGTTATTTGCATGAATATTAAGTGCAGGCACTGAGGCACTTTTCTATCATTTTAGAAGCACTTATTTATCCAATAAAGTTTCGTGCAATAAAAGTTGGTAATCTATAATAATCTTGTCCATCCAATATTTTATTCAAAAGAATTTTAACTAAATCTTGTAACCCCTTTTACACAAATTAGCCTTAAATTTACCGCCAGAAGAGACAAATCCCTTGATTTTCTATGATATTTGAAGTGCTGATAATTTTTAAAAATTTTAAGCCAAAAATTGTTGTTGTATGACTTGTATCTACTTCTTTCTTTTGTGGCAGACATTATCCTACCATGTTGGGGCGACATGGGTGACAAACGATTTAGATAAAAGGGATAACTGTCAAATAGGTCCTCGAACTTTCATAAAAAGGTCAATTAAGTCCTTTTATAGGAGGTTCTGTCCGGCCGTCGCGATTTGGGGCAGTTCCTGGTGGATTTTTTGGATGAAATTTTTTTAGCATCTTATTCACCAAGTCTAGTTTACTCATACCAAATTTCAGCTAAAAATTCAATCGGGAACACATTGAAATTAATTCTTGAAAATAACTGCGCATTTTTGCGTTCTCGAATTAATTTGAATGCGCTCCCGATTAAATTTTTAACTGAAATTTGGTATGAGTATATTAGACTTGATGAATAAAATGCTCAAAAAATTTCATCAAAAAATTCTACCGGGAATCGCCCCAAATCGCGACGACCGGACAAAGTCTCCTATAGAAGGACTTAATTGACTTTTTTATGAAAGTTCGAGGACCTATTTGACAGTTTTCCCTAGATAAAATGATTAAAGATGATATTCGAACATTCCGGAAAAGTTCAAGAGTTCTATTTTTTAACATTCACATGCCATAAAGAAAATAGTACTAAATTCTAATTACCTACATATTGAAGTGGTCATTACCTGATTCCTATTGCATAAATACATATTCATTTTGCAGGTTGGGTACTGCGATGCATGGTTGTTCTTATAATTATAAGGGAGACGAAATTTGTGAGACTATTAAGTAAGCTTGTTCGGTAAGAGGCCGATGATTAGTGATGAAGTGTAATGATACCCTTTTTATAGGAACGAAAATAAAAAGATGTTTCTAACAGAATATCAAAGGTCGCTTAGTAGAACGTGAAGACTTTACTTTCTTCATAATAATGGTTGTCGCCCATTTGTAAAGCAATTTCAATTGTATCTCCGTTGAAAATGTTATCTAGACATGCATTGTTTACTGAGCTGCATTTATTTTAAGTGACATATGAAACAGCAACCCTCTTGAAACATTCCACTTCTAATGACATTATGTTTCCCGTCCATTTTTCCTTCCACTATTTTCCTTCCACTTTTTTATATAGTACTAGTATATAGATATCAACCGTTAGATAAATATGATGGTAGGAAAGTAAACTTCTACTTTTTATCTTCACACAAATTGAATAACCAACAATTAGAAAAATTAATACTATGTCAATACATTCCTTCATTGCCACGTACAACATTATTACATATTGTACCTTTGTACGTCATATTCGCTTTTCATACTCAACCATAGTTATTGCTATGTTCATTGGTCATGCTCACTGCCTATGTTTATTGCCCATGTTTAATGCCCACAAATCCTAATTTCAATAAACCCTAATTTCAAAAATAGAAAAGAAGAAAAAGATGAATGAAAATGGAGGAGACGGCTAGGCGGCGGCAAGATTGGGACGGAGGTGTGCGGCTAGGAGACGGTTCGTAAATTTCAAGTGATAACACACGGAGGGCATTAATGCCCACCGGACATCTCTGGGCGGGTAACCTATGGTGAAGGAATTCATCGGTGAAAAAGGAAGTGTTGCGGTCGGTGAAAAAGATACGAACGCCAAATTAATGGAGAGAGTTACCTTGTATTCATTAATTCCTAATTTTTAGGAGATTTTAATAATTAAAACGACGGTTATTACTCAAACTAGCTATGACGCTGAAGTCAAACGAGTGTATTACACTATTACGCCAAACGTTTAGCCAAGCCGTTTATTGTGGGATGAAATAGCATATCATTAATTAAATGGAAAGGACACTATTGGGATTGAAATAAAAATGAAAACCACATGCACAACCGTGAGCATGTGCAAGTCATACAATAGGAATAAAACTCCATTAGTCATACTTTAGGAAAGAAACCATGCATAAATGGGATGGTAATGCACAAATATTTATATTATATAAAGTAGCAAAGTTGCTACAATTTTCGGAGGGAAAATTCCGCCCAAAGGAAGGGCAAAAATGAAAATTCGTGTGCCTTAATTTCCTGATCCCGCCCATGTAAGAGCATCTCCAATGCTATAATGTGCACGGTGCACATGTGGCATGCGTCATAGCCACATAAATATTAACAAATAAATAATCTCTTTCCTTATTTGAATAATTTTACACCATTTTGGTAAGTTTTTCTCTACAATGTCAACAACAATGTCAACATCTAGACGGTCTCCTTGACATTGTGGAGAAAAACTTACCAAAAGTATATAAAATCATTCAAATAAGGAGAGAAAGAATTTATTTACTAATATTTATGTGGTTATATCTCATGCCACATGTGCACCGTGCACAATTTACCATTGGAGATGTTCTAAACATGCATGTGTATGTTGAGCATTTATTAACCTAAATAATACATTTCTAAATTGATAACCTGCCATAAATGTATTCCATATTGTCCACGTGAGACACAATATAATATGCATCAAATAATTTTTCAAAATAAAGTAATTAATTGCTATAATTAGACAATATAATACTCTATATCTATGCATGTATTATTTAATACTCCTAACGTATATATTCCATTACTTCCGTATATAATTTTTGGAAAGAAACAATAGATACTCATAATTTATTTTTATAATTATGCTCTATTTTAAAGTTTCATATCTCATATGTGTTATGTTGTCAATATATACATATAGTTTGATTATGATTTATATATGCCCGGCCACTTTTAAAGTTGCCTTATATATAATTATTTATTTGAGTATTGCAGTAAATGTAAATTGCTAAATTAAAGTCCAAATAATTCACATTTTCTCTAAACGTGTAAAGTTTCTTGATATATTCTGCCCAATTCTGTAAAAAAAATGTCTATTTCTGCAATCTAGGAAGCACAGAAACTCTCCATGGCTCACGTTTTCACGTTTCGGAAACTCGGAAGCGTTTCGGAAACTCGGAAACTTCAAAGTTCAAATTCCCGTTTCGGGACCGTTTCCGTAATTAAGAAAAAGTTGGAATCCTTTTTCACTACGTTTCGGAAATCTCGGATTCCAATTTTTTTTATCTTTTTCAAAAGATTCTGTGGTGGAAAATAATTTTTTATAGTGAATTTTTGCGGTATTTCTCAGCGGCAACACTTGTTACATTTCGTAACGCAATGTATTGCTAGAAATGTATTACTCCGTACATTTTATGTTTAATTATGTACTTATATGAAATAATATCTAAATTCGAACATGTAGAGTGATTTTATTATTTGGTTACTAAACAAATTATATTAAAAAAACATCTGCATATGGAAAAACTTGTGTAAATATATTAAAAAATATTTATAAATGTATCCTTATATTTTATAATATTTACGCGTTTCCCCCACGTTTCGTGTCCTATATTTTTAAGAAATTACGTTTCTCACGTTTCCCGTTTCCCGTTTCACGTTTCCCGTTTCCGTGCTACTTAGTCTGCAATTTTAACTTGATAACACCTAAACAACTTGCCTATATAAGTAGCAAGTAGCAATGTACACATACAAGAGTTCAATTCACCCCATCAGAGTATCAAACCACATATACACTTCACATCAGTCATTTATTTTTCATCTTTTTTAACTAAATGTCAAATGAAGCAATGCATCTAGATTAAACTTATTCTTCATCTATTGAATGCAGAGTAAGTATTCGTACAATCAGCATGTGGCAAGATACATAAAATAAGAAATTGAAAATTACTTTTCATTATTTAAATTTTGTTTTACATTTTTACAATACTTAAATTGATGTTGTGGACACGATGTCCGATGTTAAAGAATATATCTTCTTACTATCCTTATAGTCATACAAATAATAACAATAATAATACTCCGTAATTTATATATATTTATACTCCGTATAATATAAAATAGCAAAATTGGTATAAATTTTGAATGAAAAATTTCCACCCAAAGAGATCATAAATTATACTACATGGTTACATCTCTAATTTAGTAATGAAGTATCTCTCTCATGTGTTCAATTAATTATATTGATATTTATATAAGAATATCACATATAGAGATATGTTTTTAGATTTTCCTAATTTGTAACAAGAGTAATGGCTAATTTTTTAGTAACGAAATTTATGATAGCTACCAATTTAATTAGTAACAAAGTTTACTAAGTTAAAATTTATCATTATAATTGTTAAGATAAAAAATGTAAACTTAAATTTTAGCAACTATTATATTAATTCTATTAGTAAAGAAATATATGATAGTTTAATCAATACAAATTGTATCTTTATCTTTTTTTTACTGTTGGAGGGAAATTTCATGTCCAGTGAAGATAAAATTGTGAATTGTTGTGTGAAAATTGTATCGTTTTTGCTTATGTTCAACTTTTACACTTAAGTTATCAAGGACCTTTAGTCATATTTGTAAGTAAATTTTATTTTAGTTACACTTTTGGAAGAAACTCTTAAAATAATAGAAACTAATATGTGAACTCTTAAATATTAAAGAAGTCAAAAAATTATGAATCCTATATTTGGTTCAATTACTTATTTTTGACTTAGGAAATGGTTTTAATTAATTAATTAATTTACGTAAAATATTGGCGGTTGTATGTGATCCTTTTGTCGTGTAACTCCATATCGGAATGCCAATGTTGTGATATCAATTTAAGCCCGCTTCTTCCAAAAAATGCATTGATGTTACGTTTAAAAAATGAGCATATAAGATGGGTACCAGATGAGCATACGTAACTTACAAAATGCGCATTGATATGAAAATCGTGAGGTTTGTTAGTTGAACATCACGACATTTTCATTGAACATCAAACCTTCTTTATTGAAATCGATGGAAATCACGATTTCTGTTAAATGCGCATTAATAAATTGTTAATGAGCATCAGACCTATACAATTGAGCATATGTAACTCACAAGATGAGCATTGATATGAAAATTATACGTATCAAACCTCCGTTATTGAGTATTAGAATCGTGCAATTGAGTATCATGATTTGTGGTGTGGTCTCATGTCTATAATCAAATTCTATGTAAATCTAATGTAATATGAGACTTTTGAAATATGCATTGATATAACATTTTAAAATGAGCATAACAAAGGTACTAAATGAATATACATAACTTACAAAATGAGTTTTCAAAAATTCAACGGGTCATTTGTATATGTTCATTCTTTTTAGACATTTTACTTATTTGAGTTCAACATAAAGCTCATTTCTAATGTGCTCCGTATTAATATATAAAGAAAACGAAAGAAGGAAAAATGGGAAAAGAAGAAAAGAAAGAAAACTAACTAACAGGAAAAGTAACGAAAAAAAATTAAATAAAAAAGACAAAACAAAAAATGTAAAACAACTAGCAAGAATGAACAAAGAGAATGGCGGCTGGAAAGAAACAAAAGCAATGGGGAGTGAGGATGGCCGCAGAAGAAGAAAGAAAAGCAACGGGTTGATATATGTTACTCCCTCCGTCCCCCGTAATTAGTTTCCGGTTTCCTTTTTGGGTCGTCCCAAAAAATAGTTCTCATTTCTATTTTGGAAAGTTTTGTGTGGCTCATATTCATTTACCTTTTTCTTACACAACCACAACCATACATTTCCGCTTTATTCCCACTTTCTTAAACTTCAATCCAAGTCAATGCGGGAACAATTTTATGAGATGGAGGAAGTACAAAAATACCTGGTGTACATGTACACCCAAGTGTACCTTATAATTTGCCATCATAATGTTTGAGATAATTTTAATGTTACTTATGAATTTAACATCTCAATCACATATAAGAGCATCTTCAA